TGCACCCTGCAAGTAGGGAGGGGGGCTTTACAGAGACTGCTGCTTGGCTATTTAACATGCTTCCAGTGTGGTAAGCTGGATTTTACAAGCTAAAATAATGAGGAAATGGAGGATCAAGGAACAGGAGGCACAAGGGGCCTTCATAAGAAGACTGGCCTACAGAATCTGTTATGATGACATTTATTGCAATTTTGTAAATATAACAGCTTTCTTTGTAGGAACAAGCACACATTATTTATGGTCCTCTTGCTTCTGTGTCTTCAAACATAGAAGAATTCAAACAGGGGCCATGTGTGGACAAGAATGGAGTTTTTCGCTACTATTCGTAACCCTGAATCAAGGACTGGCAAAAAAAATCAAAGGCTTCAATCATATTACTGGCTGAATATTACATTCAAGGTTTATCAATTAGTGCCAGAAGAGCAAAATATACTTCTACAGCCACATAAATGGTGTAGGACATGGTCTGGTCTCTCCAGAAATAGCACAAACATCATCCCTTAAAACAGGCACTAGCCTCCCTAGACCACAGATTTCATGGTGTAATTAGCACACGTCCTTTCTGTAAGCAGCTGAAATCTGCAGATGGGAGGAGAAATGTGATCTATTCCACTTGTCTGTTGGCTCCATTTTCATGCACTCATTTGTAAGTAATATATTGTAACAAGTGTCCAACAATGGCCTTCTATCATTCAGGCAGCAAGCAGCCTGTTCACACTCTTCAGGCAAGGACACTCTTTGTCCTCAATAGCCACTGTAGACTGCTGGTGATACGTGATAGAAACACTGTGACAATGGTTCCTGCAACATAACATACCAGTTTTACAACTGATAATAATATGATTAACAACTGCTTTTGCCATAACTCATTTTATTATGTTTTACATTCATAAAAGAAGTATTTGGTTTGGATCTTAAGAGCTTTGTCTTTCCTGAGGGTGGTGGCACCTTACACACATAAAAAAAAAGCAAACATTGTAAATTGACAGACCTTCAGTAATATGGTATGTCAAATAAAAAGGCAAATGGTATATTTAACTGTACTATGCCTCAACCACCATTCCAGAAAAAAAAACTCTTTTTGGAATCAAATATATATTATTATAAAGGATTTATATAGCGCAACAGTTTGCGCAGTGCTTTACAGAATGACGGTAGATATTACAGTTACAATACAATTTGGTACAGGAGGAAACAGAGGGCCCTGCTTGTTAGAGCTTACAATCTAAGAACCTCTTGTACCAAATTGTATTGTAACTGTAATGTCTACCTTCATTTTGTAAAGCGCTGTGCAAACTGTTGGCGCAACATAAATTCTGTGTAATAATAATATATTATATATTTAACAGGTCCTGTAGTCAGACCATTCATTTCATCAAAATTGTCCTATAGGATTATGCATTTAACATATTTTTGCATGCTATTTATTTATAAAAGCCTCCCTTGTGCAGACATCCAAAGGGTCTGAGACTACTGCTGGTTGCCACTTCTTGGATGTGATGGCAGCAGCCCCAGCAGACTCAAGTGGCAATCTAAGTATTTACTTTCACTCTACATGCATCTACGTAAAACATTATGAAGGGAGGTGAGAGGCTGAGGAGCTGGCCCAGCACAGAGAGTAATTAGACATTCCCAGAGGCGGAGAGGCCAATGACTCGCAAGAGGGAGGGAGTTGTGTTAGTGTATTAACTTTCCTGGAATAGGTGAATTTTCTAGCAAGGTCAAAGGCACATTACAAGTAAATAATCAGAAAAACACTGCAAGTAAGCATTTAAAAGACTTGATTTTACTGTGATTTTATGTGCACTTTTTTAGGTGGTGACAGGGTTGCTTTAACCACTTGCCACCGAAGGACATCTCTGTATGTCCTTGAATTGCAGTGGTTATACCAGGATGATGCCTGCAGCTACAGGCATCATCTCAATATCTTTTATTTATTTAAAAAAGTGATCCTGGCTGCTAATTGCCACTGGATCACTTTTACAGGCAGCGCACAGAGGGGTCTTCTGTTGCCTTTCTGGGCTCTCCTGTCCCACCAAGGAACCCAGGACTGCAGCCGTCTGTTCCATCGGCTGACCGTAGAGATGATCAAGGACTGCAATGTCCCCAATCATCTCTATGGTCTAAGAAACTGGAAGCTACAAGTATTTTTTCACTTCTGATTTCAGCTTTGTGTTTACTGGCCGGTCAGTGAAGCAGCCAATCAGATCAATCCATGTCTGATCAGCTGCTTTGGAGGCCGGAGGAGAGATCTGGGGTCTAATAGACACCAGATTGCTCCATAAAGATAACCTGTCATGGCCCATGCTATTATAAATGATGTTGCTCATCCCTTGTGATAACAATACAGTTGATCAAAAAAAATTAAAGGTACAGTGTAAATTAAATAAATAATAAAAGAATTAGAAAACTTAAAGCACCCCCCGTGTGCAAAGGTGCACACGTACGTAGGTCATGTAAGCATGTGTTAACGGTGTTCGCACCGCGAACATTATAGCGACAGCAATAATTCTAGCACCAGACCTCCTCTATAACTCTACACTGGTAAACTCTAAAGACTTTTAAAGCGTCGCCAATGGAGATTTTTTAGGTACCATACTTTGTCGCCATTCCACAAGCGTGCATACTTTTAAAGTGTTACATGTTAGGCGTGTATTAACTCAGCACAACATCATCTTTTATATTTTATCAAACAAGTGGGTATTATATTGTGGTTTTGAGCATGGAAAATTCAATAAAGTGTACTTTTTCCAAAAGAATTGCGTTTGAAAAACCACTGTGCAAATACAATGCAACATAAAAAATTGTAACACCCACCATTTCATTCCCTAGGGCCTCTGCCCTTTTTCTAGCAAAAAAAGCTGATTTTTACATGTAAGAGAGAAGTGTCAGAACAGGCTTGGGAGGAAAGTGATTAAAAAAGGATTATCCATAAAAAAAAAGTAGTGGTCAACTTAGTAGAAAGAGAGGGCCTCCTGTACAGCCACTGATTTGTCCAGAGACAAAGACAATAGATTACTTTAACTCATTTGCTATTATTAGTTATTAAGATGGGATTTATAAGATCACAGCACTTTCCCTTTAAATACAATGTCAAAGCTTTCTGTATCTATTTGCTGCTATTGAGCACTGTTACTGAGCATGCAAACAGGTTAGCAGCTCATTTCAGCTTCTTGGCTTGTTATCAGATTGCAGCTGTCATGGATATTTGGAGAGTCCTGGTGGAGCAGGCTACTCTGTTATGAGCTGTTGTGTGCTGCATTTTGGGCACCGGAACAATTCACAAGTGGCAGGATTGTTATGCGAAGTAAGACATTAAAATACTCACCTCACATGAGTAAGTCGCCATTGGTGAGTAACATACTGCAGCATTTTCGTCAGCAACATGACGCTCATCTGAATGACAAGAGGGCAATGCATGGATCCAGGTGGGTTGCATAGCAAATCTGTAGCTTGAAAATTGTCACCAGCTAGTGTGCCATGACCCTTAGACATTAGAAGGCTGCAAAACCATTGCTGGAATGGGGGTAGAGTGAGCCAAGCTGCAGGGTAAACAATTTGAACCACTTCACTAGTGATTTTACATATGATTATAGCCTGCAACAATGGATTGAAAGTGGTAGTATTAAACTACTTAAAAGACTTAAAACTATATTATATAGGGAAAAATGTTATTTGTGGGGAAAAAGGCATTGCGTTTTTCCTCTCTTTTACCCCGCTTGCTTTCCTTTCTCTCTAGACCAGCTATCACTAATGTTAAATTATTATATGTATAGATGGCCAATATGTGACTCTCAGTAACTACAGTATATACAGTATAAATATTTCTAATAAAAAATTATTGGAAATTAAAAAAGGCAGTGTGATGGGTGCCAAAAAGTCTACACTTAGGGTGCTTTCACACTGATGTGGTGTGGTTTTTCCCCACCGCAGTTGCAGAGCAGTGTACCCGTGGGTTTTATGCATGTTACCTGCGCAATAGACTTCTATTACATTGAGTCGTTTTAGTGCATTTTCTGAAAGGGCACCAAAATTCCTGCATGCAAAGCTTTTGGTGCGCACCATGTAAGTGGCAGCATCTTTAGTGTGGCAATTTACATATTATAAAGAAATAAAAATGGAAATGCACACTGCGAAGACGCCCAGTTCCAAGTGTATCAGAAAGGCTTCAGTTTACACCCCCCAAGCTACAGCTGTAGCCAGGACTAAGGCTTGCCATACATGGGCTGTAATGAGAAAATCAATAGATTTCTCCAACCACGTTAAACACTGGATCATTGCACTGCAATGCAGTCAAACAACTGCAGCACTTGTGGCTGCCTAAATAACCACACAGTGAATGAATCTGATTAGTCGCTGTTCAATCGAAAATTCTCCACCCGGCTTTCAATTTTTCAATCTAGCAGTTGGGTGGTGCCGACTGGACCGTCTACAGCTCGAATTTTGTATGAATCAGTAGGAAATGGCACATGACATGCAGTATGAAATTTATGCCACACATGGATAGCTTGAGCCCTGGTTCACACTGGTGTGACTTATCATGCAACTTGTGGGTTAGAATTAGCATGACAAGTCGCATCCCATTACCGTCAATGCTAATCAGTGCGAATCACGTTGCAGTGACTTTGAAAAAGGTTCATGCACTATTTTTGTGCAACTTCACTGCAACTTGCATTGATATCTGTCAATTTTAACCAATTGTGGCCATTGGGTGTGCTATACATGAAAAGAAAAAAATGAAATAAAAGTGCACAGGGCATGTGTAGCAGTCCCTGTTCTAGTTTCACAAGTTGTTGAGATGTTCTTGAAGATAAGCAAAGAAACTGCTTTGTAACTTTTTCTACTTTTGCAAATTGAGAATGGTAATGGCTGTTAAGATTGTGCAATGTGAACATTTTTACAAAACCTTTAAATACTTTTTGCACTTTTTACAAAATTACAAAAAAAATATCCATTAAACATTGATAATTACTTAAAGATATCAGTGTGCTCTTTCTTACCGTGCTGCAAGCTTATGGCAGATGACACCAGTGTCAGTAATAACTTCGCTCAGCCTTAGCTCCAGGTGAACTTTCCCCTGAAAAACAGAAAAAAAGTCATGTATACGGGTAAGAATACAAACAGGAAAAAAATGACTTCTCTTCTAATATTATCACTTTTAATTATACACATCTGCAATGCTGCACAGTTAGGATACTCTCTTATGTCATCAGAAAACAAATTATAAAATTATTATAATATTATTATTATTTACTAAACCTTATTTCCACATCATGACTTAAAATATATCTAAAGTCAAAACTTTTTTTGTTTTGGATAAAGAATGGACTGGTTAGAACTCTCTCAATGTGTCCCAATGGAAATATTTTCCTTCCCTCCTTGTCTTGAGACTGAACAGGAAGTGAGAATAAAATGTATCCAAAATAAGAGAAATGTTCTTTTAGGCATGGTCACTTGCATGGTTGTCCCCATTGGAAGAGTTCCTCTTCATTGGTGTTCTGATGGCAAATTGAAAAGGTTAGCGTGTCCATCATTTTCAGCAACAGGACAATGGTCACAAGGACAAATGGAGAGGAAGAAATCTCCCCAGCGGAGACACAGACAGCAGGAAAAATCCAACAGGAATTTCAGTACGTTCCCATTGCATACAAATCCAAAATGAAAAAATGACTTTAAATACATGTATCAATGTCCAAGTACAATGTAATATAGTACAGCTTACCGGTTTTTTCAGCCTTTTTTTTATCCTGCCAACAACACACTTCTTGTACTGGGATGACAATACTCACTTACTGTACTGTATCTATGGATGAGCAACATTTTTCACCCTGTCACATGGAGTGCGTTAGGACCACAGAACACCCCCTTCCTCCTCTCTTCTGTTTCAGCAATAGTATATTTAAAAGACCAAAAGGTAGGCAATAAAAGTTTACTGTTAGGATTTACATACAGTTGCAAGAAAAAGTATGTGAACCCCTTGGGATTACGCAGAGTTTTGCATGAATTGGGCATAAAATGTGCTCTGAATGTCATCTAAGTCACAACAATAGAACACAGTCTGCTGAACATAATACTACACAAACATTAGATGTTGCCATGGTTTAATTGCACATAACATGTAAACATTCACAGTGCAGGGAGGAAAAAGTATGTGAGGCCCTAGCTTAATGACTTCTCCCAGAGCTAATTGGAGCCAGGAGTGAGCCAACCTTGACTCCAATCAGTGTGATGATATTGGATGTGTTGCTGACAGCTGTCCTGCCCTTAAAAAACACACACCTGTTTTGGGTTTACTGGTTTCAAGAAGCACTGTCTGATGTGAACCATGCCTGGCAGAAAAGAGCTCTCAGAAGACTTATGATGAAGAATTGTTGACTTGCATGAAGCTGGAAAGGGTTACAGAAGTATCTCCAAAAGCCTTGATGTTCATGTGTCCATGGTAAGACAGACTGTCTACAAATGGAGAAAGTTTAGCACTGTTGCTACTCTCCCTAGGCATGGTCGTCCTGTAAAAATGACTGCAAGAGCACAGCGCAGAATGCTGCATGAGGTAAAGAAGAATCCCAGAGTGTCAGCTAAAGACCTACAGAAATCTCTGGCACATGCTAACATTTTTGTTGACACATCTACAATAAGGAAAACATTAAACAAGAATGGAGTACATGGGAGGACACCACGGAGGAAGCCATTGCTGTCCAAAAAGAATATTGCAGCACGTTTGAAGTTTGCAAAAGAGCACCTGGATGTTCCACAGCACTACTGGCAAAATATACTGTGGACAGATGAAACCAAGATTGAGTTGTTTGGGAAGAACACACAACACTATGTGTGGAGAAAAAAAGGCACAGCACACCAACATCAAAACCTCATCCCCACTGTAAAACATGGCGGAGGGAGCATCATGGTTTGGGGCTGCTTTGCTGCCTCAGGGCCTGGACGGATTGTTGTCATTGATGGGAAAATGAATTCCAGACTTTATCAAGACATTTTGCAGGAAAACGTACGACCGTCTGTAAGCCAACTGAAGCTCCGCAGAGGATGGGTGATGCAACAGGACAATGACCCAAAGCACACAAGTAATCCAACAAAACAATGGCTGCAACAGCACAGAATACGCCCTCTCGAGTGGCCCAGTCAGAGTCCTGACCTCAACCCGATTGAAATGCTGTGGCATGACCTTAAGAGAGCGATTCACACCAGACATCCCAAGAATATTGCTACACTGAAACAGTTTTGTGAAGAGGAGTGGTCCAAAATTACTCCAGATCGTTGTGCAGGTCTGATCTGCAACTACAGGAAACGTTTGGTTGAGGTTATTGCTGCCAAAGGAGGGTCAACCAGTATTAAGTCCAAAGGTTCACATACTTTTTCCTCCCTGCACTGTGAATGTTTAAATGTTATGTGCAATTAAACCATGGCAACATCTAATGTTTGTGTAGTATTATGTTCAGCAGACTGTGTTCTTCTATTGTTGTGAATTAGATGACGTTCAGAGCACATTTTATGCCCAATTCATGCAAAACTCCACGTAATCCCAAAGGGTTCACATACTTTTTCTTGCAACTGTACACGTTTAGTTTCCATTTTGGGTTTGTTTTTCCAGCACTAACTAGTCTGCAGGTATGTCATTCTATGAACACTTAGAGGTAGTCACTACTCCCAGGCTAATGAACCTGCAAACCTAGTTCTTACCCTGACATAAGAATGCTCCCACATCACAAAAAAGAAACATTATTATATGTTTACTAGCCAAAAGTTTGTGTGTCATTGCCAACAAAAAGATTCTGTTGAGCCCTGGTTTGCTATTGGACCCCCTTCAATACTTTTCTCTTCCTTCGTGTGTTAAGAAAAATACCAATAAAAATGCCTGCAAATGGTTTGTCTTTGATGAAAATGTACGCTTTTTGTATACTTATTCCCTTTGTGTTCCTCCTATTTATCCAAGATGCACTTTAATTATCTAATATATGCTGATACTGTTGGTCTTAAATTACAGCACAATTTAGAATACACTGGATGAAATATTGCCCTGTTTTATGAACAGTTATTACAGCAACCTTATGTATTTTCAAATGACATGCCTTGTGAAAAAATGGGATAGCTAACCACATATATGTAGTAAATCAGATCTTCCAAATATCCCTACATTCCTGGGACAGTCATGAGATTGATAAATTTGCCTTTGGTAGTTTGGAACCCTAAAACCGTACTTGGTCATTTGAATTTGTTTTTCCCATCTACTCTTATTTGCTGGGCAGAAAAGATCTTTACATTTATAGTTTTAAATTGAAACAAATGTAATTGAAAACTGTGTGTGTGTATATATATATATATATTTTTTTTTTTTAATGAACACGTCATGATAAAGTCTCCCAAGGTTTGGCACTGTGTATTATATTGCATTGTATTGTCAAATATACAAGCTTAGCAGCAAGGAACTTCTGGAAACGATTTGAAATTATTATCAATGATGAATTAAGTGGCATAGTAATACACCCAACAATATTAAAACAGCCTCTGATAGCAGCACAGTAGGTACTGAGCTAATGTCTTAAACACAAATGGACCTAACAATAGACACACAATGAAAGATACTGCAAAAGCGAACAATAAATGTGCGTCTTTACTAGAGAGACATAAAAGATTGCATTACTCACTGCCTGATACCTCAAACACCTCATAACTCTTAAAGGTAAGTATACAATTCCTCTCTCCGTACCAAATCCTTCCAGAAACAATATGCACTGATTTATAAATGAAAGCAAAAGAAAAAGGGGCGCTCCATGATCACAGATAGCAAAAAAAATCAACACTAAATTGCAATTTTAAGCACAAAAACTCTCTTAGACATAGTCTTCCCACCAATCATTGCTGAATACCAACTGAAAATTCTATTCACCTGGCTGCCATGCTAATTCAAAGAGCTCAACAGTTTCCCAGTCACATGAAACATATATGTATCCAGTGAAGTTAGAATAACAACAGAACACTTGATATTTACACTTGCTCCAGATTAGTGACTCTGAAAATACTGAAGAGAATCAGCATGCCAGGTATGCAAATAGTCTTTTCAGGAGGGGTTCAACACAAAGATCTGACTGAATTTTAGTGGTTTCCAAAGAATATTTTGGCAACCATAAAGGGACCACTTCAGAGCAATGCTATATTAACAACACCAAATGGACCTATGCATATCATTGATTGTAGTGCAGTATAGGAGGCCAACATTGGCGAGGCAGTAGGGTTGTCTAGGAAAGAGATATGGTGCTAAGCTATAATTGAATTATTACTGGGGTCAGGAGGGTGGGAAAAAATGGGAGAAAGCAGGTATATAAGAGTTTAGGTAGGGGAAAGAATCAGGTGAAGGGGTGGAGGTAGAGAAGGGTTTAGGAAAAGGGTGGATAAAGGGAGAGTGGAGTGGAAAGGGAAGAGGGATAAAGGAGAAGTAGGAGAGGAAGAAGGATAGAAAAAGTATGGTGGGATGATGAAGGGATAAGAGAGTCTAGGAGTAGTTCAAAATGTTAGTGAGGGTAGTCAATCATGTATACGATATCCAATGCTGCCATACTTTTATGTCTTGTATGTATCAATCCGAATTGTGTTTAGTTTCCCTGTGTCCTTTATACCATTTATTTGGTTTTTGAATTGTCAAAGTTGAATGAGGAGGTCTTCCAGTTTCTAGTGATGTTAGCTGAGATTACATACCTTTACCCGTAATCTATTAACTAGACAACAAGTCCACCAGATGTGCACCATGTAAGTGGGGACTTAATTGGCTAACTGGGTGAGATTTGATACCATCTAGAGAGGACCTTATAGGATTTATCTTGTGCTAGGACCTCTCTAGAACATTTGGCAGTTGTGGCCCAGATTTCCTGCCAGTCCTTGAACTGGAGTGTTTTTTCCAGCTTCTCTGCCCATTTTGTTTGGTAAGATGCTGGGCTATATTCTGTAGAAGTCCTAATGGAGGTGTAAATGAAAGAAATGAGACCTGAAGAGTGTGATTCATTATGACAACATTCTTTGTAAGCCATGGGTTATCTTTCAATAAAGACTTATTGAGTGATGTATTTTCAG